ACTCAGCCTGGAACTGAAAATATGGATGGAGGACCTCAGTTTAGCTTGTTAGTTTGTCGCCGTAGCACTGAGCTAAAACATGAGGCAATACATCATCAGCGCTAGCACAAATGCTAACAGGCTAAGCTGAGGTTCTTCTTCCATGAAGCAGCTCTGTTGTCCTCCATCCATATTTTCAGTTCCAGGCTGAGTCATTTCTACCTTCTCCTCTCTGTCAACGCTCTCTGGTTTCATTTAAAAGAGTCAATCATCAGATATTGTCCAAGATTAACCTTCAGGGTGGATATAGCTCGCTAGCAGCCTCGCACCGAGGACCTATCCACGTCATTAGTTACCTAGAATGCTTTGTGTGTAAAAAAAATGGCACCATCCGTGTAATAAATTTTTAAACTTTTAGTTTAAAAATGATAAAAACTGAACGTCCTACAGTATTTTTACAGTCTTTATTTTACAGTTAACATATTTGTTTGTCAAATAAAGTCTAATGTTACAACTAATCGGGGATCCCTTTAAGAGTCTTTGTGCGAGAGGCGTGGTACACTCCGGACAGGTCACCAGTCCATCACATGGCCACACAGAGCTGCCAACTAATATCTGTTGAACTGAGATAAGAAAAATCCACTTTTTATCAGGACATGTCAGTGATATTTAACATAAATGACAACACCAGTATTGACRTTTCAACATCACACAAAAGCCTCTTCCCACGTTTATTTGTAGCTTTGTCCTCTTCTGGCAAGGTTGTTAGTTGTTTAGTTCAGGGATTATCTCTCCTTGTTTAGACTTTGGTGAATGTGCCTCTAAATGCAATCAGGGACTTGGGGAGTGCAATCAAGAGCTGCTTGAAACTGGGCATATTCAACCACCATTAGAGGTTTGGTGAGGGGCTGATGGTTGACTTGTGCACAAGGTGACCTCGCGGCCCCAAAGAGGGACACTGTTAATTTCTAACAGGACTGTGGACAAAAAAGTGTCCCCCTGCGATTTGGGTCTCCTGCATGCCGACTCCAGCTGAAAGTCAAACCACGGCACAGCTTTAATTAACAGGGACAAATTTAAATGGAAGACACCGATGGACATTTTAGACTTTACTGAAAAAAAAGAGAACTGTTTGGTTAAAATAATTAATAAATATAAAAGGTGAGCACCATGACAGTCATAAACTGCGAAAAATCTGTAAAATGTTTGAGCTAATTCTGCAAAAAATACAAACTCCAAAGTAATTTTGCATCTGCTTGCACAACAGTTAATATTTGTATTGTTTTTCAGACACAAATCTATATTGATTTGGTGTTTTTTTTTCTCCTTCTGGGTATTACTAGGAGCGTAGCACAACTAACAAAATAAAGATGAAAAGCTCAAGTCAAGGGAAAAAAAGCACAAACTTTATTATTTCTTCTATACAAAACATTACAGTCATCGTCAACAAATAAGAACAAAATAATACAATAATAATCCAACAGAGATCTTAGGCGTGTAAATGTTCTGACACTTTGTTTTCCTTAAACAGTTTTTTTAAATAAAAGTTACACAAGTGCTAACTTTTAGTTTTGCATTTCTAGCACAAGAACAAAAAAAAGTATATCAACAAAATACAAAAGCGGTAAAATGTTTCCAGTTTGCACTGACAATTAAAATGAAAACAARCGAGACGTGTGGACAAAATACAGTGATGAGTTTGTAAAACTGTCACAATAAAAAGTGACTGAATCGTCATCATCCAACAGTCAACACACCGAATACTCCACAACAGTTTTCCTGCACTTGGCAGAAAAACCCCCCTAAAAAGATCAGTTGTCTAATAATAATAATAATAATAATAATTAATAATAATAATAATAATAATAATAATCTGTATTTCAGAGGTCAGCTTACAAAGATAGAACAGAAGACATTAATCTGACATCATTGTTCATGTTCTTTTCTAGATTGGTCTAGTCCCGATGCATCTGATGAATAACATAAAAACAGCTTCCTTTGCTGAGTTCAGCAGCGAGGTACAAAATGAAACTACACGGTAAAGTCTACGTTTGTTGTTCAGTCTTCATCCAACCCTAACTTCTTTTAGGAATCCCTGGTGGATCTGATCATTCTAGAAATTCTTTGACAATTTTTTACACACACATGTTCTGTTCACTCCAAAACAGATTGATGAAAACCCATCAGGTAATTAACCTTTTTATCCTCTTAATGCAGTGAAAAAGTGCCCTAAGTACAGAATTACATTCACAATGAAAAGCAGGAGTGAGGTAAAATGGAAGCATGACATGTCTTGATTTAGTTAAGTTTATTTGTGTTTTTTTTAGCGTATTTAGCTTCCTTGAGTCATTGTGTTCCTCAGTTATGTTGCCTTTTCTACACCTTACAGCTGCTCTTCATTACGCTCACCTGCTTCCCATTTCAGTAATCACTCCTCCCAGCATTTTTTATATTTCTGCTCCTGCTTCCTGCATTTCCTCCAGTTTATTTTACTTTCCTCAACCATTATCTTTTCGGTTGACTTTATTTAAGCTTTGCTGCTTAGAAGTCTGCATTTGGGTCACCCACCTGCCCGCAACGTAATATGGTTCATGTATAATCAGATGAAAAGATACCAAACTTCCAGGACAGCCTAAAAACAATTAGTGGTGCACTGAACCACATCTCACAATATGCAGATCCTAACAAATCCACAGAGGATGACAGTATCTAGACAAGATGTGATAAAAAAAATGAGTAACCTTTTGTTGACAGGGAGATAAGGCTTGATATCTGAGTTAGCAACAGATTGATTTTATCACAGCTTTTGTCTGCTTTCCCAGCATCAGGGAGCTGTCACAAATATGACACCAAGATTCACGACTGCATGAAGTTAAAGGAACAAAACCAACTGTACTGGTGAGTGAATTAGTTTTATCCAAAATAAAGGACATCTGTCTTATTTTCTTTGAGTTTAACGAAGTTTGACCTTGTGCAGTTTTTGCAGAGGATTGTTAATGGATGGATACATTTGGATATTAAAACAATGAAGTAATTTCTATAATGGACCCAACATGGATCCCTGAGGAACCCCATCACTGAGACGGGCTGCATTTAGTGAGATTCAAACAATTGATTTATATTTAATATAAACAATGCATTTAAAAATAATTGCTTTATTTTGTGTTATTTATGTTAAGCTTTAATATTTGCAAACCAGAAACACTCTACTGCATTTTGTGTGCAATGGCTTGCTACCAACATTTATTATATTGTTACACAGGACCAAAAGAAACAAAGAGAAACAAAAAATAAAATCAGTCTTCTTAACAATCATCAACATCCTTAATTCAGTTTCAGACTTTCTCCTAAAGCCCAAGTCCATTACACAGATTAAAAATGACATTGTGGATAGCATGAATGCATGATTATAAAGTACATGTGAATAAACTGGTGTTCGTTAATGGCATGCACGTGAAGCTTATTCTTTGCTGTATTCATTTTCATGCTTTCATTTTCCACCTTTTAGTCAGACGTCACACATAAATCAAGGAAACTCTTACTTGCATGTGAGAGTGGACATTTATTGACGTATCCTTTAGAAATTTTATCCAGGAATCCACAAAACAAACTGATCAATCTCCCAGTTCACTCTGTTTTTGTTTGTTGTGACTTTGAAATAAATCAGAAATCTTGGAAATTGAGTGAGTCATGCATACTGCCGCACAATGTGCAACACTGAAACAGTTAAAACAAGTACACTGTAGATGACTCTTTGCATCTATCATAAATTAGTGCCAAAAAACAGAGCATCAAGTGTCTAAATGCTTTATCTGTGATTTTGTTCACAAGTGAATCATTGTGTATGTAAGACGGACACAATTTAATTGTGTTAGTCTTAAAGTTTATTTTAAATGACTATTTGTTTTAAATAAAATATAACTAGATGTGTTTAAACATGTCATAAATAATACAGTATAAGAGATGCAGTGACAGGCACTAGACAATTCAGAAACATTACTAAGAAAAAGAGGAAACCAGAACGTTTCAAACAAGTCTGAGGAGTCCAGTAACAGCAGAGACACACGTGTTTATAATAATCACTGGAAGCTGTTAAAAGTTAAAGCCACTTAAACAGCAGAGGAGTCTATAAACCAGGTTTAAAGTCATTTGCTCGAGTGTCATGTGATGCTCTGAGGAACGACGGGTAGAAACTAGAGTGTGCCCATTCCAGTGACTTCAGACGTCAGCCTAGAACAGTGCGGGGGTGGGGGGGTGGATTTGGATGGTGGACAAAAAATAAATAAACAAGTGTGAAACAGGAAGTTTCTCCTAAAGCTGAAAGTAGATCCCCTTTATTTTCTACAAAGATTTTATTAGCTGCGTTTCCATTGCAAATGTGAGCAAAACTTTGTCGATATTCTGTTAATGGAAAAAAAAAACAGTTTCGCAACTGCGGTGTTTCCATTAAGTAAGAAATGTTATTAAAGTCACGTGAATACGTTTGTTCTCATGATAAGTCATTACAAACATGGCAGCGATGGATGTAAACACATAGCATGTTGCTACCACGACACTAGCGCTCATCATCAGAGGAGACGTCGGCGTCTTTTATCGAGGCTTTCCAGAGACAAGTCCCTACTTGGGAGCGGCTACGTATGCTGTGTTTTTGGGAAATTGTAGTCGGTGAGTTTACTATGTTATACTACTTCTGTAATATTACTACTACTTCTACTGATCTTCTTCGTCGTCGTCTTTTTCACCAGTAGAAACAGTCGGTTGTTGATCATGTGACTCCCATGATGCAAAAAAAGTTTTTCCATTGCAGTTTTGCAAAAAACACCAATTTCCATACGGCTGAAAAACCACCTCATCCTAGCGCAAAAACATTTTGTCGAGAAACGTAATTCTTTTTTCAAAATTGACGTGTTTCCATTGAGCAAGTTTATTTTCGAAATTCTAATTTGCGCATTTTCATGGTCAATGGAAACGCAGCTAGTGATACAGTTTAGTTCAAATACGCTGACCCATCTTAACCAACTCTAATCAAATATGTAGGCAGATGTGGAAACATGCACTAATAATCACTTCGTGAGGACATGCAGTGGAGTAAAGAAAAAGGTGTTAAAAACTTTTATATTTTGACAGAAGCATCACATCACACCATTTTAACCACAATAAACTGAATGTTTTCTGTCTTGGTTCTTTAGTTTTTTGTTGTTTATCCTGTACAAACAGCTTAACATGAAAGTTTATCTGATATAATAATGACTGGATGAAAAGTAACGTTTGTGATAGTTCAGAAGATAAAAGCAGACAACTGTTTGTCTTAAGATTTAGGGTGACTTCAGGACGTTGTCATGGACGAGGGGTCATTCCACATGGCGGCCATGTCTCTGAATCTGCCAGTGGGATTGTGGGAAAACATTAGTTTCTTTGTGTCATGGTCTCTGAAAGGTTTTTAAAGAAGTCAGAAACACAAATTCTGTTTGCCTGTGATGGTGTGGATCTATTTAACTTGGAGGCAGAGATAAAGGTTTGTTTTGTTTGGGAGTTTAGCAAAGTTTAGCCTTTAAAAGATCTATACCAGTGATTTCAATGCAGAGACTTGTGGATATATCTTCTATCTCGTGTGCTTCGTAGTCCCTATTTTGAAAACTGAAACATATTTTTTCAGACAATTTTTTTATTAAATTAAAACCAACATGTACATAAATCACATAAATGGTGGATGAATTATATATTATATTTGCATTTATTGCCAGTTTAGCTGAGGTGGGTAGATTACCCCAAAATTGTACTCAAATAAGAGTAGCACTACTTCAACATATTTTTACTCAAGTACAAGTAAAACATAGTCATCCAAGAAGTGACTCAAGCAAGAGTAAAAAAAAGTATTTGGTAAAAAAGCTACATAAGTACTGAGTAGTAGTTGATCCTGATATCAATCATTTAATATTTAAAAATTACATCCTCAGATGGACCAAAAATATAAAGCTATRTGGAAATTTTGGTGTTCAAAAAACAGCGGGTAAAATAAGTATTGAATACGTCACCATTTTTCTCAGTAAATATATTACTAGAGGTGCTAATGACATGAAATTTTCACCAGATGTCGGTAACAATCCAAGTGATCCACACATACAAAGAAATCAAACCATAAATGTCCAGAAATGAAGTTGTAATAATGTGGAATGGCACAGGGAAAAAGTATTGAACACACTTACTGAAATTTATCTACTTTGTACAAAAGCCTTTGTTGTCAATGACAGCTTCAAGACGCCTCCTGTATGGAGAAACTAGTGGCATGCATTGCTCAGGTGTGATTTTGGCCCATTCTTCCACACAAACAGTCTTCAAATCTTGAAGGTTTCGTGGACCTCTTCTATGAACTCTGATCTTTAGTTCTTTCCATAGATTTTCTGTTGGATTCAGGTCAGGTGATTGGCTGGGCCATTCCAGCAGCTTTAGTTTCTTTCTCTGAAACCAACTGAGAGTTTCCTTGRCTTTGTGTTTGGGCTCATTGTCTTGCTGAAATGTCCAGCCACGTTTCATCTTCATCATCCTGGTAGATGGAAGCAGATTTTTATCAAGAATGTCTCTGTACATTTTCCCACTCATCCTTCCTTCAATTATTTGAAGTTTGCCAGTACCATATGCTGAAAAACAGCCCCACACCATGATGTTCCCACCTCCAAACTTCACTGTTGGTATGGTGTTTTTGGGCTGATGTGCAGTGCCATTTGACCTCCAAACATGATGTGTATTCTGGCATCCAAAAACAGTTCAATGTTGGTCTCATCTGACCAGACTATATTCTCCCAGTATTACACAGGCTTGTTAAAATGTTGTGCAGCAAACTTTAAAGGAGCTTCAACATGCTGTTTCTTCAGCAGTGGAGTCTTGCGTGGTGAGCGTGCATACAGGCCATGGTGGTTCAGTGCATTACTTATTGTTTTCTTTGAAACAATCGTACCTGCTAATTCCAGGTCTTTCTGAAGCTCTCCACAAGTGGTCCTTGGCTCTTGGACAACTCTTCTGATAATTCTTTTCACTCCTCTGTCAGAAATCTTGTGAGGAGCACCTGGTCGTGGTCRGTTTATGGTGAAATAATGTTCTTTCCACTTCTGAACTATGGCCCCAACAGTGCTCACTGGAACCTTCAGAAGTTTAGACATTCTTCTGTAACCGATGCCATCATTATGCTTTGCAACAATAAGGTTGTGAAGGTCTTGAGAGAGCTCTTGACTTTTACCCATCATCAGATGTTCTTGTGTGATACCTGGTCATCATTTGGGACTGAACCAGCTGATATTAACTTGCACTGACAAGGGGCAGGCTTGTTTTCAAATTACTGAGAGAGTTCAGCTGGTGTCTTGGCTTTCCATGCCTTTTTACACCTCCCTTTCTTCATGTGTTCAATACTTTTTCCCTGTGCCATTCCACATTTTTTACAAATAACTTCATTTCTGGACATTTATGGTTTGATTTCTTTGTATGTATGGATCACTTGGGTTGTTACCAACATCTGGTGAAAATTTCATGTCATTAGCACCTCTAGTAATATATTTTCTGTGAAAAAGTTGACGTGTTCAATACTTATTTTACCCGCTGTATAAAAATAATGAAAATATTCATATAAATGACATAATTACAAAATAACAAATTTAGGCAAAATTAACATTGTTCTAAATCAGTTTCAATGTAAAATTTCTGAAACAAACAAATACTACAGGTGTGATTGTGTGTCTGGTGAATTTTGATGAAAACAAGCTTGTTTTTCATTCAGAGAAGTTACTCACAGTAGGTAACATATCCAGAAATTTTTACTCAATTGAGTAGCGATACTTATATTAAAATTACTCAAGTAAACCTAAAAAGTACAGTGTAGTAAAAGTACTCAGAAAAGTATTTTTTCAAAAAATTACTCAAGTAAATGTAACTGAGTAAAATACCCAAATCTGCAATTTTGTGTGGTTCCATGTGAAAATTCACATAAGATCCAACTTTAGGAAGCTACTAAAACCTTAATAATTCATTTACTGATGTTTTACTTACATTCAAAATAAAATAAAATAAAATTAAATTAAATTAAAAATTAAAAAACATATTTCGCTGGCATCTCTACCAAAATAAAATTATTGTTTCCACGCAGTAATACTACTGAGATTTACAAAAGAGGATTATGGCCACTGGGAAAAATAAACAAATAAATAAAATAAAATAAAATAAAATAAATCTGTGAATCCTGAGTTTATAGGCAGAATTCTGACTTTGATTTTAGAATTATGAGATTAAAGTCAGTGGTCCTAATCCTCTTTTTATAGATTCTTTTTAACAAACTGAGTCAAAATAAGGAAAGAGAAAATTAAAAAGTAAAGAACAAGTTTCAGACAAAATATTGTCAGATTTTTTGTCTTTATTCATCAGAATGATAAATATAAGCTCAATGAWATGTTTGTTTTATTTTCTAAACAGCACTATCAGATAGTTTTTTTTTTCTAAGTCTGACCATTCACATCTGCTTTTATTATTTTGGATTGAGTTGAAAAGGTACCTGGCGTTGATGAGATACTGAGCCAAGCTGATGTTAGCGGGGGTCCCTGTGATGGTGATCTGCCGCTCAGACGAGCCCTCCATGGCATTCGCAATTTTGATCTGCGCCCCAGACATCTGCCGGATCTCATTTATTTTGGTTCCCTGGCGCCCAATAATACAGCCTATTAGCTGGGGGAGAAAGAAAAACGTCTTAGTCCGAAGAAAGAGAAAATCATGCTGCCAGTGTCTATTTTATTTCCAGAGCACATTAAAACAGCTGAAGTTTTTTTTAATAACTCTGGAAAACAAAAACACCTACAATTAAAATGCAGAAAATGTTCAAGCTAAAATGAAATACAGAAACAGCACAAAYGTTCTTTATTAAATCTTTGTCTAAAACATCATTCATGGTTCATTTAAAGTGAAAAGAGGTTTAATGAGTTATGAAATTGTCTSTGTTTAATTTAAAATGAATGATGAAATGGTCAGAGGGGATGTTCTGCTTTATTGGCCAGTTATAAGTTGATAATTTAGATTTGAAGTATTAGTTAGTCTTAATAAYTGTATTTCATACAAAAGAAGGATGAAAAATGACAATGACCTCCATTTTTATCGCCCATGAGGTGCTCAAAATGAAAGGTTGTCTAAATGTCAGCAAAATATCTCCTGAACCATTAGACAGATTTAAAGGAAAAACTTAAAAAGTAATCTGTACACTGAAAAAACAAACTTTTGGGTGTTTTAAAATATATTAAGTAGTTCTTTTTAATGTTTACTAATAAATAAAATCTACAGACTACTATATTTTACAAAATAAACAATACACATTATATTCATATTGCAAAAGTACTACTGTATAAAGAAAGTAAATGCTGACATGGTTTTATAAGTAACATATAAGTGTTTTTTT